CCATGCTTACTGTTTCCAAATGAAGCTCCGTGGTGAGTAATCCTAAGCGGGCGCAATGTAGCCCAATCGTCATTCTCACTCCGCTTGTGTCCTATGCGACAAATCACGGCCGTTTCCTTGAGCTCAGTCCCAAGAGAAAAGGTATCAATGCAAGCCATGTAGGAGAGCGGGGCTAGAAATAGCATCATATTCGGGTGTTGGTAAGCATGAATATGCAAACTTGAGGTTAGAGAAAGTATTACGAACGTTCAACACCATGCCGAGCGGAGAAGAAAGATCTACGAAGACGTCGTGGTATTAGAAATGGACAGGAGCATCTGAAGATATAACAGAGACACTTTGTCGTTCATCCGAACCCAGAACAACTTCAGCATACTATCACATACAACCATAACCAAAACTTGCATCCTCCGTCTTCAACCAAGACCAGCTGCCTCCCTTCATCATGACCTACCTAACTACCCTGACAAAGTACCTCACCCTCTCCTCAGGCGAGAACATCTTCTACCGCGAAGCCGGTCTCAACACCTCTCCCACAATCCTTCTCCTCCACGGCTACCCCTCCTCCTCGCACCAATACCGCAACCTCATCCCCATCCTCTCCCCTCACTACCATGTCATCGCCCCGGACCTCCCATCCTTCGGCTTCACCAGCGTCCCGGACAACTACACTTACACCTTCGAGAACATTGCCTCCACAATCGACACTTTCCTCACCGAACTCCCCCAGCCCCCTACAAAATACAGCATCTACGTCTTCGACTACGGCGCGCCCACAGGCTTCCGCATCGCGCTGAAGTATCCAGAAAAGATCCAAGCCATCATCAGCCAAAACGGAAACGCCTACGTCGACGGCCTAGGTGCATTCTGGGATCCTGTCAAAACCCTCTGGGAATCTAATAACTCGGCTTCTGCCCGCGATGCCCTACGCCCCTTCCTCGAGCTTGACGGCACGAAAAGCCAGTACCTAGGTGGCACACCGGACCCGTCCGCCATCGCGCCTGAGTCGTACTCCCTAGACCAGTACCTTCTCGACCGGCCCGGAAACAAAGAGATTCAGCTCGATATCTTCTACGACTACAGAACGAATGTGGAGCAGTATCCGAGCTGGCAGAAGTGGATGAGGGACAGTCAGGTCCCTCTTTTGGCTGTCTGGGGTAAAAATGATCCCATCTTTGTGTATCCTGGGGCTGAGGCGTTCAAGAAGGATTTGCCGAGTAGTGAGGTGCATTTGCTGGATGGAAGCCACTTTCTTGTGGAGAGCCATGCTGCGGAGATTGGGGCGCTTATGATTGGGTTTTTGAAAAGGCGCGGGATCTAGTTAAGAGGGGTATATCATATGGCGATAGGGTAATACCGTATTTTCCTGCCCTCTTTGTTTTTGAGCAGCGCGCTACCACTGCGCCACAGGACTTGGAATGTCCCTCGACTGTTTTTTAGTAGTTTTCAAGATTAGAAGATATATATTCCCTGTTCAAAATTTCACGATGATGTGTACTTTGCTAATGGTGTAGTCGCAGGGCTGTGAGAGTGATGCACTTCATACATATTGGCCTCCAGCCAATTTACACCTTTCCACAAAGCTTTGTTCAGCAGCTTAAAGAGATTACGTGGAGAGATACAGCTCATTTCATAGCTTTGTACAGTAGCTTAAATTGATACGTAGACGGATACGGCACTATTCACAGTTTTGTACAGCAGCTTAAAGTGATACGTAGACGGATACGTTTCTGTTTACAGCTTTCTGTTAGTGAAAGAACCAAGATCACCTCCCACAATGCCCACCCCCTGCTAGCTAAAAACGAAGAGGGCAGGAGAATACAGTAGTAATAGCAGTAATAAGTTTAGACACACTGATTACCGTTAAGTGTCGTCGTTAAGTAGGTAAGTCCATTAGATTGTTTTACTATGTGCTAGGACAGGCCGTTTTGGATCCCACGTGCTTACAATGCTAAAACACCGTCGCAAGGCCAAAAACAACAAACGTATCTACTATGCCTCCAAACCTTTCCTGCTCTCAGTATACTTATCCAACCCTACATATCCGTTAATCCAATCAAGCACAACCTCATGCCACATCAAGCTATTCTCAGGCTTCAACACCCAATGATTCTCATCTGGGAACGTCAAGAACTGACTCTCCACACCCCTCACCTGCAACACATTGAACGCAGCCAGCCCCTCGCTAATCGTCAGTCTATAATCCAAATCACTATGAATGATCAAATGCGGCGTTGCCCAATGCTGAGTAAATTCTGAGGGATCCCACTTCGCCCAGCCCGCACGATTCTTCCACAACGGGCCTTGGAATTCGTGGAAGGGGAAGTAGAGTTCCTCAGAGGCCATTTGGCCAGACATGCTGAAGACTCCGTCGTGGGTTACCAGGGCTTTGAACTTGCGGCCGAGAGGATGGCCTTGGATCCAGTTCATCATGTAGCCACCGTAAGACGCTCCAAGGGCGACGGCACGATCAGTGTCGACGTAGGCAAGGTTGTTTTTGATCCAGTCGAATCCTAGATCGAGATCTTGGTAGGGGAGGCCGCCCCACTGGCCTTGGATCGCGTCTACGAAGGCTTGTCCGTAGCTTGTTGAGCCGGTTGGATTCGGGCAGATGACAACGTAGCCTTGCTCTGCAAATACGACCGGGTTCCAGCGCGTGCTCCAACCATCCGTCCAGGCGCCCTGTGGACCACCGTGGATAAGATATGCGAGCGGGTACTTCTTGTCAGAGGAGAAATTACTAGGCTTGACGACCCATGCATGGATCGAAGTGTTTGGTGCTGCACCGTCCCAGTGAATCTCATCGACTTGTCGGCGCGAGAGACCGAACATAGATCCAGAGCGAGTGTTCGAGGAAATGTATTGTGTCGTCAGCAGCTTGGGATTTGAATCGTACGGTCGGTCGTCAATTGGCAGGGTGTAGACGTCAGTAAGGTTGGAACGCTTGCTAATAGGAACAAGAGAGTATAGGCTGTTTTCGATCAAACTGGTGGAGGTCACGAAGATGTCGCCATTCTTGAGCACCTGGGCTGCAGTGATAGTCCCGCCTTTTACAAGCAATGAAGGCAAATGCTCCTTCTCATTGGCGGACTTAGGAGGTCCAGCCCGGTAAAGATTTCCGCGTCCATGTTCTTCCGCGGTGAAGTACAGCTGCCAGTCGTCCGGGCTCCAGGCTATCGATTGCGGGCTCCTGTCCCACTTGCCCTTTCCATCTTCAGAAGCGAAAACAGCGGTCAACTGTGATGGCTTCGTGTAGTCATGCATGATGAAAGGCTGGTTCTTATCCGACTCGTATCCGTCTGCCTTCATCGACAGAAAAGCAATCATCTTGCCAGAGTTGGACCAGACAGGACTGGTACTCGCTCCCTCAAAGCCATCGATTGAAGCCTTTTCTATTTTTGGAGTGTTGTCTGAATGCAGATCATCCCAGAAGGTCTCAGAGGCCAATACGTAGATGTTAGTCTTGGTGTGGGTGGCTGGGTTGAGGTCCGGATCCTTCGATGTGAAGACCAGCCCATGCTTTGAGATGTCAAAATGATCGGTTCCGCCAAAAGGCTCGATCGGGCTCTCTAGTTTGGTGCCCTGCAGCGCGTTTTTTAACGCGCCTTTTTGCTCAAAACTGTGTGAGCCATTTTTCTTCTGACATAACTTTCCTAGCCATATCGCATTGCGGTTTTCTGTCACAAAATGGTCCCAATGGCGGACAAAGCCTGACTTGTAAAGTTTTCCCGATGAATGTGGTTTCTCTGCCTTCTCAGGATTGAAAAGTGAGCCGTCTGGTTTCGCTTTGCCAGACACAGCAAAAGCAAACTCGCCATTACCTAGGGCATGGATCTTGAGGTCGCCTATTGGACCTTCGATAGTGCCAGCTGTCTCTTTGCTTCAATTTGGTCAGTGTTCGCTCGTCGTCATCTATGCACAAGTAGAATATACCTGTTCTCAAAGCTATCTGCCTTGCCCACGACTATCTTTGTGGTTCCATCCTCATTGGACTCTAGCAATAAAACAGTCTCATCGTCCAGCCAAGCCGGCTCATTGGCAGTCTTGTTATCAGTGACGAGAGTCGTTTGTTGACTCGCTACGTCCAGTATTCGGACCTCAGACTTCTTTTCATGCTCCGAGAAGCTGTACGTCGAGACACTATATAGCACCCTAGAGGCGTCCGAGTTTGGGACACCTCCAGACCGGCGAGGTGCTTCTAGTAGCACCTCTGGCGTAAATTTTGACGCTCTGATGGTCATGTTGAGTAGAGGAGAGGATAATGTAGAGAGAGCGCCTACATGATGTTAGTAGGCATGCCTCGAAATAATGTCCTAAATGTCATCCTTATGTGCTACTCCAACAATGAAAAAACATATCTGCAGTTGTGGGGGAAGCAACTGCATCTTGCTATTGGTCGATCGACACTCTCGACGCAGGTACATTGCATTGCAGCTACCCCGGGAACGTAACTGCGTAGAGAGTCCTAACTTGACGTTGGGCTTCGTGAGCCGCGATAGGCGTATGTTTTAATATGAAATGCCCCACAAACAAACCTTGAAAGCGTAGCAGAAACATAGAGCTTGGAGTTCCCAAGCATCGAGTCACTGACGGAGCTTCCCGTGCGGAGCTAAAACGAACATTCGGGCACACAAATGAGACATGATAGTGGACTTACTAGTGGAACTGATTTAACATAAAGGTGTGCTTAACTCAAACGCTTCGATGTGGAATGTCCAAAGCACAAAAGTGTGGCAACAAAAGCACCGTATGTAGCCGCTGACGATACGGATGTGGTTGGCCGACCCCTCACGCCAACCTCCCCATTTCTCTCCCCACCGCTTGTGTCATCACTGACAAAGAATTTCACAGCCCCTCACCGTACCACGCTTCCTTTGACTCATGTGTCACAGCCCTGCGATTATCTCGTTAGTAAATTTTACCCTTTAGTCGACTTTTTAATAGCGGATATTTATTTTCTAATTTTAAAAACTGCCAAAAATTAGTCCAGGGACAATCAAAGTCCTGTGGCGCAGTGGTAGCGCGCTGCTCTTATATAAATCACGTGATATGATTCATATGGCCTTCGCTAGGTTATGCAGATGTCGTGGGTTCGAGTGCGTACACGCCCAGAATTCTTAATTTGATCAAAACTAACATATCATAGACCCCACCAGGACTATGTTCACTATTCTTTTTGCCAATTTTTTGGCCTCCACACAACGGGGCCTTCTTCTTCAAGAGGCAGATGTTCAAGGTTACAACAGACGGTAGCTTGTGAAAACGTAAGACCGAAATAAGTGACTCTTTTTTGGGGGCACCCCTATGAAGAAAAAAACGGGAGTATTATTAGATGTATCAGCAGCAACATCAAAGTTGACCAGCGCAATAAACTATAAATACACTGTCCTGAGATTATTAGATCGTTTAAACTGCAGATAATCCCTAAGATTGCTCTGTAGTCTCCATGGTGCTGTATGAGCTGTCTTTACAAGCAGTTAGTAGTAAGTGACATCTTCGGACTATGCTGACACATACAAGAAGACTCCAATGTTTTTCTTCATGGAGGTGGGGGGATAAGTAGGAATAAGCCACGTCTAACTTGCTTTCCGACAGTGAGAGGTCAGATTAACAACAGCAATGCCAATCATGAGTTGATTCTGGTTAAGAAAGTGTGCTATTATGAAGTACTTATTCGCAAATCCAAATGCGCCACATCTTTACAATGCAATGCAATGCTGTACTTTCAATCCGTTGATGCTATGCGCTCCTGTCCCAATGCAAATTCTACTTGGTCATGGCCTCGTTGTGGGGCCCCAGTAGACCTTTCTCGAAGCCATCTCCTCCTGCTGCACAATCCTTGAAACCTTGTTCTGCAATATTTCCATCTGCCTCTCGTACTCCCACGTCGGCGTATCCGCTCCCCTCATACCAATGAACCTCGCAAACATCCGCATCTTGATCTTCAACCGCTCTAGCTCACTTAGTCGACAGTTCTCTGGCAGGAGCGGGTCCTTGTCGAAAAACGGCTGTGCCCAGTTCATTGTTTGCGGATACTGGTATGTTAAGTCTATTGGCATGTCTTGGTTGTAGTATTTGGCGAGCGCATCAAGTTGATCTTCCGTAAGGAGGAACAAGGAGAGCATTGAGTGTGGAAAGTCAGGAGCGGGTGCACCAGTGGTAACATGGAGTATTGGCGCGATGGTGAGGCGCATGTCTGAGATTTTACGTGTGAGAGCAGGGTTGCGGTCTTTCAGTGCCATCTTTGCGGCTCGGCGTTCTACGATCCGAGACTTTGGTCTGTTTGCCTTGCTTATGCCGTGCTTTTCGCTCATTCGTCGGAAAGGCATGGGTTTAACTTGGTGTGGTGGCTCCTTCGTAGAAGGACCTTGCTGACGAAAAGAGCTAGCGAAGTTTGCTGCGGGAAAAGTGTGTGGTAGGGCACCGGGAATATGCAGCAAAGCGCAGGGAAGAGAGTCGCCAGCAGTATATGAAGGGTACACAAACGGTTAGAAGAATGAGCATTGTTTGGAATCATGCCCTTTGTTACGCGACTAAGACATGCTGTTCTGACTCCTGTGAATACACAGCCTTTGTCTTGCTTCGTCACATGTCCATTGTATTCTCGCGCTTGGAAGGGACTTCTACACAATGTACGATATTCCATGGTATCAGTATTAGAAGGTTCTGAGTTTCAGCGGCCTTATTGACAATGTGGTGGCGTGCTGGATCTGACGCTACGATGTGCTGGTGAAGTTTACCCGATCTGTACGCGGCCGCACAGATTGTTTCGGCCGTCCTAGATGAGTGGTCGACAGCTTCGTTTTCGTCGCTCGATAGTGTGGCTATTTGTTGTTCAAAGTCTCCTAGGCTTTCTGTCTCTAATGGTGACCAGCCTTAGCTTTAAGTGCCGAGAATGCTCTCGAGAGACACGTCATCCTCGGCGCCGCCAACGGTCTCAGTCTTCCAGAACTTACTCAGGTGTCTTGCGCCACTGTGAAGAAGTCAGTGTATGTTTCCCACAAAGTCAAGAGCCTATCTACCTGTCACATAAAATGGTGACAATTCGATGTCCAGGACCAAGCATCTTCGCAAGTTTCGTAGCAGCCACGCCTGTAACGAGTCAGCATATTATGCAATTAAAGATTCTCGTAACTCACAGTTCACAGCGCTGGAGCTGCCAACGAAAATGCCGTCATGCTCAACCAACCAGCGTGCCATGGCGATTGCTTGACTGTCGTCCACCCTGATGGCATCGTCAATCAGCTCACGGCCAACATCGAAGTTGTGAGTCACGCGATTGATGCCAATGCCTTCAATGATTGTATCGACTTGATGTCGGCGGCGTGTCCCTTCTCTTTCTTTCGGGTCAAACATGACTCCGTACTTGATACGATTGAATAAGCCGCTGCCTGGAGGATCTGCAAGTACGACTTTTAAGTCCGGCAGTTTTGACTTCAAATATAGAGTTACCCCCGAAATGGTTCCACCAGTACCAGCGCCGCTCACAAAAGCATCCAAAGAGCCACCAGTCTGCTCGTAGATCTCAGGCCCAGTGCCGGTGAAGTGCGCACGCCAATTAGCCTCGGTTTCGAATTGGTCCGCGAAAAGCCCTCGGCCAGGCTTGTTGGAGTTCGCAGTGTGCTCCGCAGCTCTTGTTCGAGCCAGGTTAACAAATTGATTCTGGTCTACGATTGGCGCTGGCCGCACCCTTTCTACTTCTGCACCGAGCTTCAATAGAAGATCCGACTTCTCGATTGCCATGTCGTTTGGCATACAGCTATCACTTGTCAGAGACTACACATATATCTCAAACAGACACCTCACATGTGCGCTTTGTATCCCCTCGCTCTGCATATTGCGGCCAGTGATATACCTGTACTGCCGACTGTGCCTTCGTAGATGGTGTCCCCTGAGTCTGGAATTAAAAGACCTTTCTCTTCAGCCTGGGGATACTATTAGTCAAATGGACGATGATCAGTACTATAGCAACGTGGTGCTCATACCATTTCAATGATACTGAGGGCAACCCGGTCTTTTGGGCTGTTGCCTGCTCCATTGAGGAACTGAAAGGCCTTATTTAGCGTTTTTCTACAACTTTACTCTATTTACCTTACCTCGGCTTTCGCAAGAATCTCGCATCCTGTGTAGTCTGACAATGATTTGATTTTGATGAGGGGCGTATCGCCAATGCATCCCTCAATGCCCTCTTTGATCGTTCCAGCTCCTTTCTCCAGCGAACTTTCAATCTCTACCAAGCTCTTCTTTAAAGTGTCCAAGTCATTGATCTTTGCAAGCCTTGATATCAACTTCTGGTGTTGCTTGAGAAGACGATTCGACTCTACATCTCCTGATACCTGCTGTGAAGCACGATTGTTGTAGGCCACAGTCAATGTCACACCGAGGAAAAAAGCTCCCAGTACATAGTATCTAGATTGATCGGGCATGACTGGACGTGAAAGATCTGAGCATGACGGTGAAATACTCATACATGGAATTGGCGAATGGAGAGCTTTGACGATGCTTGGCATGAACCGACCCGCAAAGCTCACCACGTGCTCCCGCGAGTAGCTTGTTCTCACAACGTCGCGATTGATGCTGCATGTCCCCTCAGGCGTCAATGGACTCTCCCCTCGTCACACAGCTCTTCCGCCAGCTCTTCTCGCACCGAGCGTCGCAATGCCTTGTCCACAGAGCTCGACCGGCCCTCGCAGCTGTCCGCGCACCACAGATACAGCGCCGAGGGAAATCCACACGGGTAGTTGAGGGCGAGACAAGGAGGGAAAGCAGATGGACACCGAGAAAGAATGCGTTCCCGCATGAGAGGACAGAAGAGTTTGAAAGATATCCAATGGTCACGGCGGACATGCTGCGGAGTCGGAGAGAGCGGCCGCGGAGAGTCAAGATGCTGCTGCGGGACTTCATAGAAGGTCAGAACTCGTTATTGTGAATAATGATACACAGGAGCTAGGGGAGTTAACAATCATACAGACAGCCTATACAACCCAAGTTACGGCTACTTCTCTAAGCAAGTCGTCATCTTTTCTCCCGGCGACCCTTTCAACTTCAACGAGCTCTCCTCCGAGCACGACTTCTTTCAGCAGCTCCGCCACCGCTATACCGCCTTCGAAGACGACCTCGACTACCAAGAACCTAACGAGCTGCGCCAGCTCTGGCACACTCCTACCGAGCTCTTCTCCCCGTACTATGGCGAGGCGATCGCCCGATACCTCGTCGAGGACTACAAATACAACTTCTACCCCTACCATGATCTGAATATATACGAAATGGGTGCGGGAAACGGTACCATGATGTTGAACATACTGGATTTCATAAGAGATACACACCCCGAAGTGTATGAGCGAACGAAGTACAGGATCATTGAAATCTCGTCTCAGTTGGCAGATTTGCAGCAAAAAGGGTTAGGGCATTCGGCGTATGCTCGAGGACACTCGGACAAAGTAGAGATTGTGAACCAGAGTATATTCGATTGGAACACGTACGTAAGCTCGCCGTGCTATTTCCTCGCCTTGGAAGTCTTCGATAACTTCGCCCACGACGCACTCAAGTATGACTTCGAAACTGGAGCGCCATACCAATCACACGTCGTCATCGACCCGCGCGGCGAACTCTTCGAGTACTATTCTCGAACACTCGATCCCGTCGCGTCACAGTTCTTGGAACGCCGACATGCATCATGCAAAACGTACCCGCATCCCTTGAACGGGTCAAGGGTCATGCAGAACTTGAGAAGTCTGGTCCCATGGAGGTCGAATCTGAGTACGCCGGAATACATACCCACGAGGCTGATGCAGTTCTTTTACATGCTGTATGAGAAGTTTCCCAATCATAAGTTAATTAGTAGTGATTTTCACAAGCTGGGGGAAACTGTGGAGGGTCTGAATGCGCCGGTGGTGCAGACGAGATATAAGAGACAGATGATTCCTGTTTCTACGCCTCTTGTAAGTCTCCTGATTTCTTCTGATTTGTTCTCTCCACAAGTGCTCCGCTAACGAGTATCCAGGTCCACCAAGGCTATTTCGACATCCTCTTCCCCACCGACTTCGAAGTCATGGAACCTATGTACACAGCTATAACCGGACGCTTCGCACGTACTTATCTACACGAAGACTTCATG